GAAAGATATGAGAAAATGTTAGCACGAGTTACCTCTGGGTAATCCCTCTGGTTGGGACTGAGGACTTTCAATTTCTTCTTTACAATCACTCTGTAGCTTTTTTTTCTTCTGTTGGCATGAATCATTTTAAGAACAAAACACACACACACACACCCATACACACACAGAAGGATTCTGGAATGACACATAAGAACGTGATGACAGTGGTTGCTTCTGGGGATGGGAGTAGAGGATAGACAATTAAAGATGGTACACAAAACTTCCTGCTGCCTGAGGAGCTCTTAGTCCAAGATCTATTGTAGCATAATGAAGGCCTCTGTGAAGTTAGAAGGACTGCTGTTTCTACTCGTTTCCTTGATTTGGATATGTTCTGGGCAAGAGCCAGTGTTGGTGGAATGCAGCCGTTTTAATTTCTATGCTGTAGCTAAAAGAGCACTATTTTGTCAAGATGAATTGGTAGGCCCTAACAAATTATTTCTGGGAACTGGCTGTCAGGCAACTGGAGTGTGACAAGATAAACTTGAATTTGATTATCCTGTTAGTCTCTGTGTAATTGTCACACAGGGCTTTCTCTGATAAAGCCGTCATTCAATCCTGGCTTACCTATAAACCAAGGAATCAGTTAATTTCTGCTGAACTTCACTGGGAGTGTATGGTTCCCAGCTCCTATGTCGCACTTAATAACACTGAATTGAGCAGTATTTTTATTGTACCCCCACCTACTCAACAATGATTCTTGGTACAGGACAATACTGTGTGAGATGTGGCTATGCCCACTTCAGAAAACACTGGTTGACACCTTTTCATGGACCACACAATTACTCACTTCCAGGAAATTTCACCCAGCCTTTCATTTATGAAATCTAGAAGCTTGTGCCCTTGGACATCGAGCAGCAACACAGAAGTAGCCCAGTTAATAGATGTCATGTGACACTTTATTTTTATATATTTGCATGACTTTAATTCATTTCATCTATTGTAATCCCCTCCGTGATGCCTTTGAGAAGAGGATATTTGTGTTTTTAACTGTCAATGAGGACACAAATTCATGAATTCAACTTGACATGTTTTACTGTAAAAAAAATAAAGTTTGTAGAGAGACTTTTAACTAGCCTGTGTAAATTTTACCATGTTCATGGATATTTAAAAGTCAGTATATCAACAGTATGGATAAATCTCACAAACATAATGTTGAATGAGAGAAGTCAGACACAGAAGAATATATATTGTATGATTCCATGTGTGTAAAGGACAAACAAGCAAACTAGTGTACGAGGTTAGAAATCAGGATAGTGATTACTCTTGGGAAAGGAGGTAGTGACTGGAAAAGGAGGATGAAGGGTCCTCCTGGGGTGCTGGAAATGTCTATTACTTGATCTGGTTGCTGGTTTCACAGGGGTGTTTAGTTTGTGAAAATCATCCAGCTATCCACGTTCTGTATGTATGCTTCAATAGAAAGTTTTTTAAATTATCAGAAGGGTAGTATACAGACTTGTTTTCTGGCCACCTACAGAGGGACACTATCCCCCTTGATCCAATCTGTGAGGTCATATAAATGGACCTGGACAGGGCCTCAGTCATCGTGGCAGAGACACATTTTGTCCAGGCCTGTGGCTTGTGCCAAAGGCGAACAGTATGGGCTCTAATAGCCAAGAGCAAGTCCAACAGTGATGTTTGACCTGGGGACGATTAGGGGAGTCTGGATAAAGGAGGGCAGCCATGTCTTGATGCACCACTTAACTCAGCAACATTGCTTCAGCTTTACCCTAAGGAGGGCAAGTTAGTGGAAGAGAGACATTGGGGTATTGGCCAGGTTCTCCCAACAAGCCCCTCCCAGACCCTTCTGAGTCTACTACTTACTCCTGGAAGGGGCTTATTGGCTGATGATGAGAATTCATGTCTTGAAATTTCTTTGGGGTATATTCCATTATCGGAAATAAAAGTTAATGACATCTGTGCCTCACAAACATTATAGTATCCCAGCCATCCTGCCCTGATCTTTGGAAGACAACGCAGTTCTGACCCTTCCCAGTCACATGAAAACTCAGCCCTGGCAGAACAGTGGCGATCCCCCCTCACCTACTTCTCTCATTGTTACTTGGCCAGTAGCCAGAATCCACACCTAACATGAACTGGGAGATGAAAAACAAAGCAAGAGGAAAGAAGAAAAGAGTTCCTCAGAGGAAATTGCTAATTTACATCATTATAAACCTAGGGAATATATGCAGGAGAGTCAATTTTGTGTGTGTGCCTGACCAAGGAGAGCAGAGCATAATTTAGGATGGGGCTGCATTTCTCACTATGGGTGTAGATTGGTGGTGTTCAAAGTGTGGTCCACAGACTGATAGTGCTTCATGAACTGTTTCTTTTAAGCCCAGGATAAGTATAGAATTTGAGAGTAAGCATTTGAAAACTCATACGGCATTTGTCAGAGTACTTTTATATATGTCCATTACAACCAAAAAAAAAAGAAAAGTGGGCTTGTAATTTTTATATTTTTAGATTTCATTTTTCCAAGAACTTGTTTTTATTTTATTTTATACAAGTATCATCTGTGATAGGTTGAAAATAATCAAGACTGGTTCTTCCACACAGATTGTTTATAACAGAGATTTTTGCTCACTAACTGAAACAGTCAGCTGATAGTTGCCAAGCTGATAGAACAGTTTTGTTTTGTTTTTATGAATAATGCAAATCCCAATTTTATGCTGGCCCATCAAATATTCCTGAAAAGCCAAATATCTTCTGACATAATGTGCAAGTGGAAATTTAATTACTCCAGGGGACAGAGGTACTGTATTAGATCTATCAGGCATTATGTCCCCTGATAGCTTCCAAAAAAGTCTCCCTTCACTAAATCCTGAGGAATAAAGTATACTGCAAGTGATAGAATATTTATAAAGCTCTTTATTGGCTAGTCTCTCTATGCCAAGTATGTTGATGAAGGCACTGCTATTGAAAAGGACCCCCAGGTCTTAGGAAGTGGAATTGGGTTGACCCTCAGTGAAAACCTCCAGAAGCAAAATTATTTCTCACAAATGGCAGCAGGGCGGCCATGATCCTTAATTCTCTACAGATACTTCATCGTGCATAGAGCTCTGACTTTTTAAATTAATTATGGGCTCCCCAGAATGAAACTGTGACTGTGGCACACATCTATTTCTATCACCACACCCCCTCGCTGCTGTAACTGTTGTTGCTGGAAGAGATCCTTTCTTTACCAGCCCCCTTTGCAGTAGTCACGTGACAAATTCTGGCCAATCAGAAATCTGTTGGGTACTTCTAGTTTCTGCTTTTCCTGATAAAAGAGGCAGAGACAGTTGGCAGCTACTTTGCAATCATAAGGGAAATGTCAAGAGAATCACAGAGAGGTCAATTTGGATCGCTAACATTGTTCAGTTCTTGAACCAATTACCTACTTTCTGATTTCTTGTTATGTAAGAGAAAATAGATCCCTGTTGTTTATGCCATTGTTAACAGAGTTTTCTATCACTTATAGCCAAAAAGGTTATGAACTGATCTAGAAACCCATAAGAACTTATTTGATTTATATTTGATTGAATCATATGAAATTGGTATTTTTTATAGGTCAAAATAATTGACTATAGTTTTGCATAATTCAACCTAAATAACTAAAAACATTCTAGGTTTGTAGCTATGTGTCGGTTAGTTTGTTTTTGACAGCAAATAACAAAGCCCTTTAACTCAGTGCATTAGGAAAGGAAACCTATTGGCTCATGTAAGGAAAGGGCTGAAATAGGCATCCAGAGCCTCAAAAATATCATCAAAGTCTTGGGTTCTTCCTAGGCATCTTTTCTGCCTTTTGCAATAGCAGCTTCATTCTCAGGCTGCTCCCTTTTGGAGCACCACCAGCATTAATGCCAGGCTGTGTGCTTCCTTGTCCACATCCAGCAGGAGAAAAGGAGTTTGTGCCCAACATTCTGGAGAATTCTAAAATTCCCACTAAATGGCCCCCTTAGGTCACATGTTTATCCCTGAATCAGTGACCATGATCCTGGGTTAAAAGGTGTTGACTGATGTAAATTAAACAGGGTCCACTCCTGGACCTGGGACGAGGTCAGCTTTCATCTCACAAAACTCAAGGTGCTTTCAGGAAGTGGGAATAACTCAGAGAATGGATGCTGGCTAGCTAACCACAATGTCCACTACAATAGATCTTTATCAAGTTAGTGATTTGGAGTTGGCAGCAAGAGAAACCGACAACACAGAATGGGGAGACAGGTGGTTCCCTAAAGCAAAGTTAGGGTGTTATTATTTGAAGAGAGGAAGGGTGCTGGATAGGCAATACTACTTACGAATCTCCAGTAGTTATTTCATAGAAGGTCTCAAGACGTATTTATTTCACCAATAATGAAATTTGGGATCGGAAAGAGCAGAAAAGTAGGGAGTGTGGCAGGAAAGTGAAAGTGAGTCGGTCCAAATAATATGGTCTTCATCAGGTGACCCGCAGAGAAAGGTCTGCTCTTGGAAAATTCCTACTAGAAAGGTGAGCGAAAGACTTTAAAGAACAAAGTAGTAATGACACAAGAATGAACACACGAAATAGATCCAAGTACCTGCGATGACTTCATATAGCAAGAGTAGCATTTAAATTCCACTGGGAATAGTGTAGTTTAACAATTGTGCTGGCATAACTGGCTCTCCATTTGGCAGAAAACAGAGTTAGACCCTAGTTCATACATATACAGGGGTAAAGTCTAGCTATATTAAATATATATATATATATATACTTTAATAAGATATTTATAAGATATATATATATATTATATATATAATATATATGAGAATATTTAGCTGGGAAATAAGGGAAACTTTTCTAAACCCGACCCCGAAAGGGCTGCGGCTCGCTCGCATTCAGCCTCTTCCATTGGGTTCCCGCGGGATACGTCATGGTACACCCAGCCAATGAGGATTGGGCATGGGCGGGCGCTCAGCCAATGGGGCCAAGGCGGGAGATTTGAAAGGACTTTAGTGAGGGCGCAGCCGGGCTGATTCGGTCGTTTGAGAGCAGCCAGCAGTTTGGCTGTGCCGTGGGCTCCAGGTGAGCTGACCTCCTTTCATGGGCCTTGAGCTGGGCGAAGGCAAGTGATCAGACAGGTTGGGGGTCTTTTAGGCTGGCCCGCGCGCACTCGGTTCGGCTGCTAGGCGCTCAAGGGTTAGAGATAGGGTCCTGGAAAGATGTGGGGCGGGTAGCAGGGCCGGGCGTCGAATCCAGCGTCCTGGTTCGCTGACGCGGTCAGTTTGTTGATTTCCCTTTCACTGTCCTCTGGCAATCGCTCTGGCTACATCAGTCCGACCCCTCTCTTTCTCGCTCCCTCTTTTTCCTGCTTCTAACGGCTCTTTTTCAAAACCTTCTTTGCTCAGCTCTCCCCCTTTCATTCTAAGGATGACTCAGAAGGAGAACGCATACCCCTGGCCCTACGGCCGACAGAAGGTAAGGGCTTTCCCATTTATCCTACCCCCACCCACATGGTGAGTTCCTGCTTAGAGATTTGAGGTCCTGCAGAGGGCGACCCTCTAAGCACTTTCTTCTCCCTCATGCTCCAGGAGTTTGCTGGCAGAACCTAGTCTGATCATTTACAGCCACATCCTGTCACGTGCAGCCAACTCGAATCCGACCAGCCTTGTGGGGGGCCCCTGCAGGGCTGAAGTCTACTTGTCATGTACAAATGATAACTGAGATTGAGCAAGGCAGGGTCAGGCCATGATTCCCAACCCTCGTCCTGAAAAAATAGGCTTAATAATTTGGAATTTATTTTAATCACTGGTGTAAGATAAGCATCTAAATAGATTTATTTTCCAGTTGTACCAACACCTTTCATTGAAGAACCTACCCTCTGATTTGAAATACCAGCTTTATTATATATATTAAATTCTCGCATATATGTGGGTCTGTTTCTCCACTCTTGTTCAATTTGCTTATCTGTAAATTTTATACTAATATCACTGTTTGGGAACAGGCTTTCTTCCTCTCTTGGCTAAATAAAAAGGAAGGGGCCCACACAGGCTTTGCTTCCTATTTGTGGGGCTTCAGTATCCTAGAGGGTCCATCTGTCCCCTTGTCCACCAGCTCCCTCCCTCATGGAGCACCGGGTGAGGCTGTCAAGAGCAGAGGCTGAATGAGAAACCATTGTCACTTCTACACTGATCACTTCCAAAAAAAAGTTGTGTATATTACCCAGAAGTTGAAAGAGAAGTGGTCCAAAGCCAACAGAGTAGCCCTCAGTGTCCCTAAAACCTGTAGTTGCAAGGGGTAAAGTGATATTTGCTGAACATTCAAGGACCTTATCTAAGACTTACTAGACTGAACTCTTTAGAGGACTGTGATTTTCCTAGCCCTCTATGGTCCCCTGAGGTCGGGGGCTGGTGAATGAGTGGTATTATGGACAGGACTATGGAGGTTGGACAGCTTCGTGCCTGAGAATGTGGTGTGGGCCAAGGCCAAAGAGGTGAAATGTTAGGTGTTGGGGTAAGTCCTTCGCTCCTTATCTTAGGTCATTTTAGCTTGTTTATTAATAACCCATTAATATGGGGTTCTGAGCAAAGTCTTGGGGTTGAGTAGCAATATTGTGATCTCAGTGCTCCCCTTTGAACTGGTGGTGGGTGGCTGTATAGCGAGAATGCTGCTTGCAGCACATTCCAACCTGGTCACTGGGACAAAGGCACCCTCAGAGCTCCATATGCTCCTTCTCAGGCTCATTCTGGTCTGAACACCCTCCCTCAGAGAGTCTTTCAGAAGGAGCCTGCCACCCCATCTTCGCTTGTCCTCATGAGCCGCTCCAATGCCCAATCCACAGGTAACTGGGATAAGGGGAAGAGGATTCACCTGAAGGAACTGGAGTCTGGGGAGGGTGCATGGATGAAAATGTCAAAGGACGACCTCAAACTATCTGTTCTTCCCTTAGCTGCCCATGGCCAGAACAGCAGTGGGACACCCAACTTAATGTAAGTGCCCAAGCCTTGGGGTGGCAAGAAGAGGGAGTGGGACAGTGAACAGGTTGGAAATGAGGGAGGTAGCAGCTAAGGGCAGGAGGAATAGGGATGCAGGCCAGAAAGCCTGATTCACCTTCAACTCCCTTGGGAGAGAAATGGGGCTGAGGTGCAGGGAGAAGACAAACACCTCAGGTGATCCACAAACTGGTACTCAGCTGCCTTCCCCCCACTCTCTAATCAGCCGGTCCTTCACAATTGATGACTTTGAGATCGGGCGTCCTCTGGGCAAAGGCAAGTTTGGAAACGTGTACTTGGCTCGGGAGAAGAAAAGCCATTTCATCGTGGCGCTCAAGGTGCTCTTCAAGTCTCAGATAGAAAAGGAGGGTGTGGAGCACCAGCTGCGCAGGGAGATCGAAATCCAGGCCCATTTGCAGTAAGGGTCAACACACTCTGAGCCAAAGCCCCTCTGCTATCTTCCTCTAGCTCCTATTTCAACCCCACCATATCCAGACTGTCTTCTCTGCAGCTGTGGCCACTTAGCCATTGAGTTCTCAGTCCTGGCCAGAGCCTCAAATCCAATCCAGAGAGCTGCCCCCCCAGTTCCCCCTTACCACTGCCAGCCCTATGGTCCCCTGCCTGGTCCAAGTCTGACCCCAGTTTGCCCCATATGGGTCCTGTTGTCTTTCCCATTTCCTTAGGCCTCCTCCGTTTCTTCTCTCAGGCATCCCAACATCTTGAGACTCTACAACTATTTCTATGACCGTCGAAGGATCTACTTGATTCTGGAGTATGCCCCCCGTGGGGAGCTCTATAAGGAGCTGCAGAAGAGCCGCACTTTTGATGAGCAACGAACAGCCACGGTTGGGAAGGAGTGGGCAGGGATCCCGAGGTTGAGGGATGCTGCTTGCAGCTAGAGGTCCATCCTTGTCTGACTACCTGTCATTGGCCTTCCCAGATCATGGAGGAGCTGGCAGATGCTCTGATGTATTGCCACGGGAAGAAGGTGATTCACAGAGACATAAAGCCGGAGAACCTGCTCTTGGGGCTCCAGGGAGAGCTGAAGATTGCTGACTTCGGCTGGTCTGTACACGCCCCCTCCCTGAGGTAAGGTGGGCCAGGGAGCCAACCCTGGTTGTGAGGCTGGGACATTCAGAATAAAACCACTCCAGATTTTGTTACCCAGGGATGTTTAGGTTTGTCCTCATATAAATATATATATAGACACAGCAATAGCTTTACAAAAATAAGAGGCTCACAGTTTTGTTGCCCAGATTTCTGACTTGATATATTGGGACCCTCTTGCCATATCATTGAGGATATTCCCACATCATTTTTAGTGGCTTCAGAGTATTGCATAGTAGAGATGTAACCTGATTTAAGCGGGACTTGCTTGATAGACTTTCGAGATACTCCCAAATTTTTCTTTAACTCTAAGGTGAACATTGCCCACCTATCTGATTATTCATTTTAAGACACATCCCTCAGTGTGGAAATGCTGAGGCAGTGTGTAACCCCATCTCTGGGGCTTTAGTTTATATCTTCACCCCACTCCTACCCCAGGGCCCTCTCAGAGCCTGGTTGGAACACTCTCCTGGTATATTCTGGGGTCTCTTAGCTCCCTACCATCAGGCAGCAGGGAAAGGAGAGGCCATCTGTCTCTGGGATCCCTGCCTACTCCCCCCACCCCACCCAGGAGGAAGACAATGTGCGGCACCCTGGACTACCTTCCCCCAGAGATGATTGAGGGGCGCATGCACAACGAGAAGGTGGATCTGTGGTGCATTGGAGTCCTCTGCTATGAGCTGCTCGTGGGAAACCCACCCTTTGAAAGTGCCTCACACAATGAGACTTATCGGCGCATTGTCAAGGTGGGAGGGCTGGCCCCAGGTGCCTGGCTTTGGCTCTGTGATAGCCACAGAGGCTGGGAGTAGCAAGAACATAGTTGTGCGGCCTGCATAACTCTCCACATAGAATGGGCGGTCAAGGGAAAAGCAGCCAGGATAAAACTAATGTGTTCCTTCCTTCTCCTTTATTGCAGGTGGACCTAAAGTTCCCTGCTTCTGTGCCCACAGAAGCCCAGGACCTCATCTCCAAGCTGCTCAAACATAACCCCTCAGAACGGCTGCCCCTGGCCCAGGTCTCAGCCCACCCTTGGGTCCGGGCCCACTCTCGGAGGGTACTGCCTCCTTCAGCCCTTCAGTCTGTCTCCTGAATTGTCATCTGTGTTTGTATGTCTGTATATGTATAGTTGGAAGGAGGGGTCCCTGGCCTGTTCCCTTATCTATCTTCTACCTCCCTTTTATTTAATAAAGTCTGAAACTTTTTATATCGACGAGTGTAGATGTTTACAGGTAGAGACTTTGCTGGGGAGGAAGTTGTCCCCTCTAGGGAGGAGGCTGGGGAGCTGCCCATGCTGGGTGTCAGAGATGGGGGCTGCGTCACTGCCCCTGGTAGCACCCTGCCCTCAGCTCTGACACCAACCCAGTCAGCTCCCAGCCACCCTGCTCCCACTGTCGTTTCTTTCTCCTGCTCTGACTCTCAGGGTCTGCGGGTGCTGGGGACCTCGGCTCCACTCTGCTAAGCCTGATCTCTGTCCACCGCTTTTCACTCTCAATTGTCTGGTCTCTAGTCTTTCCCTCTCCTTGTTCACTCCCTGCCGACCTAAGAACAACTGAACAGTGCTGTACCCTAGAAGGTTTTTTGTGTGTTTGTGTTCCTGCTTGGGTCAGGATCTAGTACAGGAGTGAAAAGAAGCAGTACTGATGGTCTCATTCCTGACTCAAGTTTTCACTGTTAAATATGATGCTTGCTGTAAGTTTACTCTCATTTGGCAGATAAGACAACTGAGACACAGAAGAGTTATATGATCTGCCGAAATTCACACAACTAGCAAGTAGAGGAGCCCAATTTTAAAACTCCATATTTGATACCACTAGAATGGTATAATGCTGCCTTTCCACAGCATACACATTTATTTTCTATGTATGTGTATCAGAAGTAGAACAAGAATTACAGTTTTTGCTGTTACTAAGTATAGTCTTAAAAAAAGTCCTGGGCCGGCTGAGTGGCGCGTTGGTTGGGAGCTGGCTTGGGACTGTGCAGCAGGACCCCGGTTCGGATCCCACATGAGGGCCGGTGACGCTGCCCTCTACAGCTGAGATGGTGGACGGCAGCTCGACCTGGAGCTGGGCAGCTATGGGTCACCGGCATGGCGTGGGCTGCAGCCCCTGCTGCAGTGAGCTGCCATGGGCTACCGTGTGTGGCCGGCAGCTGGTGTGAGCTGCCAAGAGTCGCCGTGAGCGGCTGTCCAGAGGCCGGCGACCGATCTGCCTCACCTGGGAAGAGCACAATGATAATACCAACATGAGCCATGGGACGGCGTCCTCCACAACTGGACTGAAGAGCAGGGGGACAGGAACTTGTCTATTCCCCTTCCCTGATTCCCCAGTGCTGTTCCCTCCCCCAATTCCCCAATAAAATCTTTGGAAAAAAAAAAAAGGCCTTTATCAGGTTAAGGTAGGTCTATTCTCTTCCTAGTTTGCTAAGGGTTTGGCTTTTTTGTGTCATTAATAGGTATAGACTTTCATCAAATGCTTTTTCTGTATCTATTGATTATTTGCTCTTCTAATCAATGTGGCAAGGTACATCAATAAATTTTCTTATTTTTATTTTATCTCAGTTATTCATGCTGTATTCGATTCCTAGAGCTGCAGTAACAAAATACCACAAACTTGTGGTTTAAAACAACAGAAATTTACTCTGGCAGTTCTGGAGGTCCAAAATCAAGATGTCTGCAGTGCCCCACTCCCTTCAAAGATTCTAGGGGGAAAATCCTTGCCTCTTCCAGCTCCAGATGGTTCCAGGCATTTCTTGGCCAGTGGCTGCATACATACTTCCAGTCTCTGTTTCCATCTTCACACGGCCTTCCCCCTTCTCTCTCTGTCTCTCCTTTGTGTCATAAGAACGCTAGTCATTTGATTTAGGGCCCAGCCAGGTAACCCAGGATGATCTCATCTCAGGATCCTTAATTCTATCTGCAAAGACCCTTTTCCAAAACACATTCATAGATTCACAGGACATAGACATATCTTTTGAGAGGCCACCATGCAATTCACTACACATGGCCATAGATTAAAACAATTGAATTATAAGGCTTTTTTTTTTTTAAAGCAGTCTGCTCATTTCTTTCCAGAGATCTTTAGTTCCAAATCTTTTTGCTGTTTTGCTTTTAGTTTTTACCATCTATTTCCAGATAACATGCTTCTGTTGCTACTTCATAAGTCTTTCGTTTCAGGCATTACCTAGTGTTTTCCTGCTATAAAATTTAAGGACTTCACTCTTCCACCCCACTGCCACCATACACATGTACATTTTTTGTTCCTGTATCCTTCTGATATAATATGTCATAATTTTGGTTGGATTTATTCATTTGACAATAGTTATTAAGTGCTTTTGACATCCGGGTGCCGTTCCATAGAGGCTGGAGGTAAAGCAGTGAATAAAAGAAAAAATCCTCTGCTCATGGACCTTGCAAATCAAGAAGATCAATGTCCAGTGTTTATATTTTGACCATGAGATGCTAGCCAAGCTGATTCATGCAGCATTCTATGGTTTTCCTTTCCTTTCTACAATAGAAGGTCCCTATTGTAGTCCTATGTCTTTTGCTAAATCCCTTATGTACAGATCACTCATCCATCTCCAAGTCAGTGTCTTAAAGCTATTAACACCCATCAAAGTGTCACTTCATTGAGTCACACAGGCCTGATATGGAGTATATTTTGTATTTTTCAGGTTTCAATATTCTCTAATTACCATTATGATCCACAGTATTTCAAACATATGAGTTTTCCCCTCCCTGTGCTCTGCCCTATTTCTCTTCACTGCCAAGCCTGCTAGGCAAATGCACCTGTGACTCCTAATTTTCTTTATGCCCAAGATCCACTTCCCCAGGGCTTGTGTTTGAGCTGTGTATTGTCTCTTTAAAACTTTTGTTTTAATTTACACAAATGAGTTAATTCACTTATAAATAATACAAATAAGGTGAAATTCCACTTTTACAACTATACTAATTTCAGAAACTAATATCAGTTTAGTAACATCTTTCTAGTAGTCTTTGTATTTATATCATATCTACATATTAGAAAACAGCATATTTAGCATGTGGGATTTTTTTGGGGGGGAGGATTTCTTTGATGTAAGTGTTGCCTTGTATGTGTTGTTCTGTCATTTCCTTTTTGCCCTTATGATGATGCCTTAGAAGTCTCTCTATGACAGTTTGGATAGATGTGCATTTTTTTTTT